AAGCGGCTTCGCAAAACATTTTTATGGCGGCGCCTTGACCTGGTTCCCACCCCTCGTCCCCCTCACCCCTGCACCACCTCCCTCCCCTCAAACCGCTTCATTGCAAGCCACCTTTCTGGGTGGAAACCTCTCTCTTCTGAGAAAATCAGGCCCGGCAATGAATACAAATTTGTTATTATTGAAGAGAAATATCAGTTCAGCTCTTTTGCTAGGTTTTTCGGAATGTGCCAGCGAGCCTGCTGGAGGTGAAGGACGCTCAGCCCCTGTGCGGGGTGGCAGCTTTCCAGCTCCTCGTCTCACTGCCCTCCGGCTCGTGGGGCTGAGCCCAGGCAGCATGAAACACAACGGGGTGTTGTCAGGCCATCCCCGAAGGCGTTCACACACTCCATAACTCCAGCCTTAAGTTATACACAACATCAAGTTAAGGGCCGAGGAAATAATAGAAAAGCAAGCATCGCAAAAGTGTTCAAGCAGCAGAACATTTTGCAATTAACTTCTGCACGCACCCACGCACGGGCAGGTGAAGGCATGCAGGCAAGACCTGTCCTCTCATCTCCTGCCACTCGCTCCTCCCCAGCGAGCATCGTCTCTCTCGTGCCAAAGTTCGGCACGGTGAGACGGCTGGCTCCCCTCTGGGATTTCCCACCCGTGTGTGGGGTGTGAGAGGCTGCAGTGGGGCTGGGCAGACTCGGTATGGGTGAAGCCAGCTCAGAGCACCCGCTCAAACCCCCTGTGTCTTCCTCAGATAAAGTCTAGGACATTTGGGTCCCCATCCCCTGCCTCCCTAGATCCCAGGCACCATCCAAAACATGAGACAGTGGAAGGGGTCTCCCGTGCCAAAGCAGGGAGCGCTCATCCGCACCCTTCCAGAACAATGGAAAGGCATTTGGGGATTCAGGCACAAACAGCCCTAATCTCACCAGCAAATCCCTCTGCATACCTGAAGCATCTCCTTGAACAGCTCCAGAAAGGTGTCAAGAGAATTAATCCTTTGGTCATTGTGGTTGATGGCTTCCCTGTAGGGAGGAAACAGACCCAGACCCAAAGGAACTTGCTGCTTTTTGAGCGAAGTCCAGAAATGGGAAGAGGAGCAGAGACAAGCAGGGGAAGGGCTTTCACTGGTCCAAGAGCTGCCGGGGCTGAGTCCCGAGAATATCTGGATATTCACATTCCAGCAGCCCAGGCCCCGCATCTGCACAGAGATATGTGTACGTGCATGGAGCAGCTGGATGGGGTGAACTCTGCCTGCCTTCCCCACTGCAGCAGGAGGCTGAAATCTGTGGGATTTGTTTGCCCTCTCCCACCCCCCAGCCATCCACCTCCTCTCCAGCCACCCCTGGCTTTCAGCGGGTGTATTTTGGGTGTTCAGGTTTATAAATGAAGTGGGCATCAACCTCTTTGCGAGTGACTCACCAGGAAAATGCTGGAGGCTGGCTCCCCAAAGCCAAGGCAGCACAAGCTTCCCAGGGCTCCTTCACCCACCCCGCTCACATGCATGTGCCTCCTCCCGGCTTACGGGATGCTCCAGATCACAGATTAACCTTGTGAGCCGGCGCACGCAGTCTCCCAGCTCATGGGATGAGGTGTGTGACCCCCACATAAATCCTGCCCGGTGCCACGGATCAGGGGACCACTCACAAGAGCACCGGGAGCGTGCACACATCACGGCTGGGTCATTTCACTGTTCTGCAATGCAGTGTCTCAGGTGCAAAATGCAACCGGCAGAGGTAGGAGTGGCATTGCAACCCTCGTCCCACATCTGGCCTCCCTTCTCCACACTTTCCATCCTCTCCTCCTGCTTCTGCTCCTTTGCAGCAGCAGCAGAGAGGTGAGAAGAGAGGAGCACAGCAACCACTGTTTCCCCATCCTGTTACTTCCAGCTGTATTTTTCCGTTCCCACACCAAAGAGGGAAGGTGCCATAATTCCATCAACGCAATAATACACACCAGGAAGAAGAAGGTTTCAGAGCATTTCATTTGTAACCACAGTGCATTTTGCATTATTGTATATAAGGCATAGACAGGTGATACATATATCTTCCAGCTATTTCAAACCCCTGAAGAACAGGGAGCCACAGGGAATACTTTGTATAGGTCCTACCTCCTGGCTGGCTTTGGTGGAGAGACATAACCAAGCTAGGGAGGGCCCGCAGTCAGGCAAACAGATGGATGTGGCTGGTCAAAGAGCAATGCAAATGGGATCGAGCTGGTGTTTTCAGACGCTCAGACCTGCTTTTATCCACCACAGTCCCACGGAGTCTTCTTGGCACGAAAATTGGCCCTTCAGCCTGGACCGGGAGCACGGAGGATTGCATGCAGGGATGTAACCCTTCCCTTATCCTTATGCAATTGGGTGCCCCGGATCCTGCTCTCCCATCACTGATGACCCAGTCTGGTTTGTCAGGGAAGAGCTGCTGGTAAGTGCTGAGGAATAAAATAGGGTTTCTCACTGGGAGAGGCTCTGGAGAGGTAACAAACGAACGTGTTTTGGTAGGGTTGTTTGTCTCTGCTGGGATAGACAGTGGTTGTGGTGATAGGATGGGTGATGAGGATCAAGACATAGTGTTTTGCATTCAAGCATGGGTCTCTCATCCCTTTGGGGCTCTTGGCACCAAGGCTTTGTTTCTGAAATAGGCAGGGGTTACAGAGCAATAATGCCAAGACGGGAAATTTCAGAGTCTCTGCAAACCGAAGCAAGGAAGTGAAATGGGCCAGATTTCCCACTGCGGATAGGAAAGCAAGGCATGCCAGCACTCAGCAAGATATGCAGACACCCCCCTGGCAGAGCTGGGTCATGGTGGGAGAGGTGCAAGGACCAACCACACCAACATTTTCATAAAATATAAACCCCAAAATTCACGAAGGGGCAAAGACAAGCAACTTTTGTCCTCAGCTCATCAGATCCTCAGGGAGAAAGCATTACGGAAAATTTGACCAAGACCTGGTAGTTTGATAGTGGCTAATAAACGGGGGTGTGGATGCGGATGAGGTTGGGAGGCTTCTAGGGAAAAACTGAACAAATGCATAAATGAAGCATTTAACTGTGCTGGTAAAATGAAACACCCACCCTGGGGTGTGCAAGCCCAGAGCTGACTTCGCCGCTCAAGCTTTTCGGAAAGGGATGCTGGGTCAGCCAAACCTCAGCAGCGAGGACAGGTTTTTATAGCTGCATGTTCTCCACGTCAAAGACACGGTCTTCACACATGGCAGTGAGCTGCCCTGTGCAATCTGGGTGCTGTTACAGTACTGAGCAAGAAGGGATTTAACGCCCAATGCATTACATCCCAATCCAGCAAAGCAATTAGACGTGTGCTTTTTTTAACCTGCCTTCTGCTAAGCACCAGCTTAAGTGCCTTCCTGGAGCCAGGCAGGAGCTTACATTAGCACAGTGTGTCCTGAGAAACTCTGATCCCCCGGGATCACTTTTCACTGCTACTTGCTCTCGCATGTCATGCTGAGTAGCAACAGCTCCAGGGCACAAATAAAACAGAGGAAGACATGTCTCATCCTGCCAAAGGGCAGCGGGGAACGATCCGTTCATCATCAAAGGGACCGTGGCAAAGGCCATGCGGTGCCGGAGCAGCGGGACAGCCGTCTCTCAAAGGGACATTTGCTTTCATGCTTGATGCCCCTGTTCCGGGAGATGGTTCCTTGCAGGATGAGTGCATGCAGGATGAAAATTTGAGGCTAATGCTGTTTTGATTAGCATCCTCTCATGACACGAGCCAGCACTACAAAACACTGGGAATCCCCTTAGACCGTAGCGCTCCATCTGATTGCAGCAGCAGAGACGGGCGGGCAGGAAGAGGGAATAGAAAACAGCAGAAGTGTCCCAACACTGCCATCCCAGCCCTGTCACAGCTGCCATTTGCTCTGTGGGAGGCTGAGCAAGACCTACAGGATATGTCTCATAATAATTTGTTTGCAAAGCAGAAAGCAAACAAGCCTGCTTCCAAAGGGGCAGGTTATCTGCCTCATTAGCGCCCAGCAGCAGTGAGTTTCGCGGCTTACGTTGCAGTCTGGTTTGTACTGTTTGGTTGAAGCATATTCAGGAGAAAAAAGGCTAATACATTCACCGAACTGCGGCTGCAGGGGCTGCATATAGCAGGAGAGCAGAAAAGCAAAGTCGACATGCACGGCTTTGCTCCCGGGATTGCTCTCAGGGTAGGGCTCAGCCCGACTCCGCTTTCTGCCACTACAGCGCTGGTGGGACTGCAGGGGTGAAAGAGCAGCTCAGAGGGAAAACAAGCTCCAAAAAACATGAGCCAGACTGTGCACTCCTTCATGAGGGCAGAATTCAATGGGAGTTTTGATTTAGCCATCACCACCAGCTCCTGCCCAGGTTTTGCATCTCGGCCTTTTCCCCGGGTCCTGTATCTTGTGGTGTTTGCTCGCTTTGGAAAGGCAACGTATCAGCCCAGGGTTTCAGGCTGTGCAGCACATTTTGTCTTCAGTAGACTTTATACATATATAAACCAGATAATACACATTGCACGGCAAAGGAAAACTGAGGCTCGTTCAGTGTGCAAAGAAAAGCGTGCTCAGAACCTGAGAGATTTTGGCTTGCACGTGCTGCTTACGCCAGCAGCCCGCAACTCCTCCGCTAAGGTCTGCAACATGTCTGTACGCTCACAGACTATTTATGAAAAGGTCCTTTCCTCGCCCATCCTCTTCAGTTGTGCACTGCTATTCAAGCTTTACAAATCAGAGCAGATTAACAAAAAACAAAACCAAAAAAAAAAAAAGGAGACAGACAAGGAAGTAAAGTAAGAAATATTTCAGTGTAGGTATTGTTTACATGCTACTTCCAAGGCGAGTGCTGTAGGTGGGATTCTGCATACTGCATCAGGGTAAGTTGTATCTTCGTTTTGGCAGCAGCCAAAGAGAGAGGCTGTTCCTTCTCCATCTTCATCTGCTGATGTGATCCAGTGCAGAGCCGTAACTCCTTTCCAAAAATCCCAGGCAAGCACCGGACCTTTCAGGTGTTTTCCAGCACGGCTTCAGTTGAAAGGTTTCACCAGTTTCATAGCAGCGTAGTTCTAGAGGGACGGGAAAATGAGGGAAAGAAAAGCTGGTTTGAAGCAGGTACAGCAGGGCGGCACGCGGAGGTTAAAGCAATTTTTGGGGCACGGCGCAGAACTGCAGACGGGACTGCATTCAGGGCAGGCACGACGGCCAAGCTCCCAGCCCCAGCCTGCGGAGAGAAGAAAAAAACTGCATCCCTGCTAGCGAGGATGGTAGAAAGCCCGAGACATAAGAAAATGGGTCTTGTCTTCTTCCAGGAGAGGCTACTGGTCACAAGCACCAAGCGGCAAGCACCAGGAGTCACTCCTGGACTTGGGTTGCTCCTTCCACCAGTTTTTAAGATAAATTCCCCCCCCTTCATACCCTTGTAAGAATTTTGGCACCTCCCCACCAGCACCACCCCAGTGCCCACACGACTTCTTGCAGGTGAGGCGACACGTCCAGCTCTGCTGAGCTGCCCAGCCTCCCCCTCTCCTCTGCATCCCGGTGCCCCCTCCCCTCCCCTCACTCTTCGTGCTGCTCCCCCGCAAACCCTGAGGCTGCATGCACCGCCCAAGCCCTCACCTTGCATCCTTATGGCTCCTTCTCCCCACAATCCCCCCAAAACTGGGGACCTCATCTGCTCTGCCTGTTGAGTTGGACCCTTTGGAAAGAGGCCCTGGTCCCGGTCCCCAAGCACCTGCCAAGTTGTGCCATGTCGTTTTCTGGAGAGCGCTGCTTTCCACGGGCCAAAATCTGCACCCAGGGTCATGCCAGCAATCCGCCGGTCCGAACGGCAAGGGGACGGCTCGCGAACCCTGCCCTATCCTGATTTAATTTCTTAGTACAAACCTAGCCTGCAGGTCCATGGACTACCTCCAAGGAATCGGCCAAAGACAATCAAGAAAGGCAAAGCTATTGCTGATTTTTCTTTCTCTGCCTTGTCTGCATCCCTTAACCCCTCAGCCATCTGTTTCAGCATCAGCATTTGGTGTGGTTTTTCCTCCTAAGAGCGGACACCCCAGGCAAGACCTTCCTGTGCCTGTTTTCTGGGATCTCTACTGTCCCTGTTATTGCACAGTGAAGTATGGGGCTGCTACAGAAAATGAGGTGTCACAGTATTTTAGCCTATTATACGTGCAATCCCTTCCTTGAAAGAAGATGACAGCACTGTGAAAGAGAATAAGCCGTGTAAACGTTGCTTATCAAGACCACAATGAAAATACAGACGAAGATGCATGCTTAGGTCGTTTGGAAAGAGCTATATTTAAAGTAGCTCTGATTCAAACCCCCGCAACCACATACTAGCCCGTTTGGAAGTCCCTCCCAAGCATATTGAATTTAATTGGTACAGGATGTTCTATCACGCTGTCACTTTAAAAAAACAACTTTGGAAACAAAGCATAATGCTAGTTACCAGCAAGATCTTTGGAGGAACGGGGAAAAAAGGGAAAAAAAAAAAAAAATGAAACACAACAGAAGTAAAGCCTGACCAAAGGCATCTTGATAAATTACAACGTGTAGCAAATTATAAGGCAGTTTGCCAACTGAGGATTTCTAATAATGCCATAAATCAAGCAAGCAACGTTAGGGCAGTTTACCAGAAGCCATTAGAAAAGCCTCCAGTGACATATAACCTTCGAATTAATTATCCATCCATTTGTCTTTCAGAGTCTATCCTCCAAAATACTCCTATTTTTTATGATTTGACTGGTTGCATTCTGGAGGGTAGCAAGTTTTCTGTCCAGCTATGAATTTGTATTAACGAAGTGTTGAAAGCCAAGCAGGATTATCAATCAGCGCAGAAAGCGAGCTGTAATTAGAATTAATGGCAATGGAAGCAACGCTGGGCTTGCAGAACACAAACAGAGCTTTAAAAGGTAGTAAACATTTTCATGGTGCTGCAAAGCTGAGCTGGCTCCAGCTGGAAGTAGCGTTACATTTTTCTGTGGTGGTAGCCACTAAAATCTTTACAATAATCACTGCTTCGGGGAGATAACTTCACCGCAGGATTCCCCACACATTACAATGCAGAAGCCCAGACTGGACTTTCATAACCTTTTCGTCTGACCTTGTGTCTAGCCCAAGACTTTCAGTCAACCGTTCCCATAGCAGAAGGCAGAGCTCTTCTCAGCTGCAGCAACGTCAGATGAAAAGTCCATCAAAGTCACTGGACCTTCCCAAAAAGCCCCAGAGCGTGCCATAAATGAGCACTGCTGGACAGGAGTATGGGGTGGAACTAGAGCATATCTTGCAGAAAGACATTTAATCTTGATATGTGGACGACTCGAGCAACGACGAATTTACCACAACCTTTGGCAAACTGTTCCGATGGTTAATTACCCTTCGTCTCAAAAATTAGCATCCTATTTCCACTGGAATAGTTTCTCTAACTGCAACGTCCAGCTACTGGATCTCATTATACTTTCATCTGCTGTTTAAGGAGCCTTCTGGTGTCAAGTTAAATCTAAGGACCGTCTGAGGAAATCATATAGGAAATATCCAGGGAATGCTGTTCCCAGAGTCCTAGTTTGTACCGACTATAATGACAACCACTCTGCAAAGAAAGCTAAGGCAAACCAGCAAGTAATCTGACACTAAGACTGGGTGGAAGAGCCCAAGTAAAAAAAATTAAGAACCTCAGAATATCAGATTTTCAACATTTTTTCCCATTTTTGTAAAACTAGACAACTTTTTTTATGGAAATTTGCAATACCATGCAGTTTTCCACCCAAAACCAAAAGGCTTTTCAGTTGGAAATGGCCTCTCACCCACTGAAACGAGTTGCTCTGTGAACAGTTGCGCTAATGACGACTGATTTCTTATGGACGTGTGCCTAAATTTCCCGTACTGCAGTACTCCCAGCTCCCCATGGGTCCTGATGAGCCTCCTCCTCATCCCAAAGCACTTCCAGAACCTTCCCCATTTCTGTGGGTCTCCCTCTGTTCCTTCCAGGGACCCCAGGCCCCACCGGGGCAGCCACGGCACGTTCCCTGGCTGGCAAACAACTTCTGGTTGCACAAAGCTCTCCTGGGAAGGAGACTTTGAGTTCAGAGGGCCTGAGAGGAGGAATGGGACGATCTTTATTCCAGCCCACGATCGATCAACCACACGTACTCCGTGTCCCGAGGATGGGGGAAGCACAAAGGCACCGCATCTTCGAAGGTTTCTGATCCCCTGAAGTAGCTCTAAGGGCATATATATTTTGCAGAATATTTGCATATAATATTTTGCAGAATATTTTGTTTCTCACCTCAATGGGGAATATACTTCCCTGGGGTGTAAAGCATCTCTTGATGGGTATTCTGAACAAGACCAAGACATCAGCTTCTTCATTTTCACTGAAGAGCCTGAACCACTGGTTTTTGGGCACTACTGTTGGGAACCACAGACAGCCCTTCATCATTTCGGGTGGAAGCACACGGCTTTCGAATGGGACGTTTGCTATTACTCTCCAGCTACTCTGACCACAAAGCTGGGACTGTGGTTGGAAGCTTTCAGCACTATATGGGCAATAGGAATAAATCAAAAAAATCCCATTTTTATACCAAGAGCCAATGGAAATGCCCTGGGTTCATTTGCAGGTGAGATTCCTGTCTGTCTGGGATGGGGGGTGACGTGTGCAGGGTTAGCTTAGCTCACAGGACCATTAGTTTCCCAGGGCATATTACGGATATATATTTCTCAGGTGAAAGACATCCTCCTTCGGTGTCTCAAGCAAAGTCCAAACAAGACAAGATTTGGAGCCAGGGCTCAGATTTCTCTGGCAGCATCTGGTGCATGGCACACAGCACTCCCAGGTGGAGAGGCTGTATGCAGGCAGGGCATTCAATCTGCAGGCAGGGGCGTTCGGCTACAGGCAGGGGCATTCAGGCTGCAGGCAGGGGCATGAGGGCATGCAAGCTGCAGGCAGGGGCATTCAATCTGCAGGCAGGGGCATTCGGCTACAGGCAGGGGCATTCAGGCTGCAGGCAGGGGCATGGGGGCATTCAAGCGGGCGTGCAGGCTGCAGGCAGGGGCATAAGGGCATGCAAGCTGCAGGCAGGGGCATTCAAGCTGCAGGCAGGGCATTCAGGCTGCAGGCAGGGACATTCAGGCTGCAGGCAGGGGCATGGGGGCATTCAAGCTGCAGGCAGGGGCATTCAGGCTGCAGGCAGGGGCATGGGGGCATTCAAGCTGCAGGCAGAGGGATTCAGACTGCAGGCAGGGGCATTCAAGCTGCAGGCAGGGCATTCAGGCTGCAGGCAGGGACATTCAGGCTGCAGGCAGGGGCATGGGGACATTCAGACTGCAGGCAGGGGCACGGCATTCAGGCTGCAGGAAGGGGCATGAGGGCATTCAAGCTGCAGGCAGGGCATTCAAACTGCAGGCAGGACATTCAGGCTGCAGGCAGGGGCATTCAGGCTGCAGGCAGGGCACAGGGACATTCAGGCTGCAGGCAGGTCCCAAGGCTCCTGTAGAGCCAAGGACCAGCTGCTGAAAAGCAACAACTGGAAGGATCCTGGAGGTCCCAATGAGCAGAAAGCTGTGGAAGAGCTCTTCATATAAGGCCATAGCAAAAGGGCAACAGAAGTAGGAAAATAGTAACTTCACCTCTGTATGCATCTCTCAGCATCCCTGTATCTCTGTCCCTTACCTTCTGCCTGCTCAGACTTGTGGTCCTCATGCCCTAACAGGATTCCCTTGAGGTTGCCCTGCCATCGTCCACCCCTTTGCCCAAGGATGAGAAGTGCAGGACACACACAAAACCCTCTACCTGCAGCATGGGACCTCAAAACTGCACGTGTAGCGGCAAGATTATGTATACAGTGCTAAACGCAGCAAGGTCCTTATTTTAAATGGGACCTGATGGTGCTCCTGGCACGCAAATCAGAACAGAAGTGAGGAGGGATTGTTTTTCCATGCATTTAATCAGGGATGTAATGGTAAGCCCTGCCAAAGGTCAGGATGCCAGGGGCATCCTTCATAGCAAACCATCACCAGCGCAATTGCCAAATTTAGTGCCTGATGAAACGGGAAAGGAACTAAATCTCCAAGTAGATATAGAACCAGTGACCTCAAAAATCTAGGGGAAGCTGGCCAAGTACATAAAAACAGAAAAATTCCGTGAAACATGGCCTTACTTTTTCAAAATATGACTAAAAATTGACCCGACCAAAATGAAATTAAATACAACAACATTTAGCTAGGAAACAGGGAAAAATCCCAAGTAATAATGAGTGTAAATCAATATTTATAGTTTGCGAATTTTTTCTCCTCTCAACGTTGTTTTTGTATGATACCACTGGAACGAACGCAAAGCCACTTGCATCTTCAGGGAAACACTGAGTTCTTCTTGGTCGAAAGGGCTTGGTTTCTGCTGCTCAGCATAAAGGGGAGTCTCCAGGAATGGCTCCGAGTACAGGGCAGGGAGGAGGCAATGCAGCACGAATCTGCACTTGCACAATTATTTCCTCCTTCATACTACTTAGCACCTCTGGAATTGTTTCTCCAGCCGGAGAAGTATCCCAGCCCTTCCCATGGATACGAGGATAGAGAGATGGGGAGAGCCGTGATCTAATCCCATCCCCTTTTTTCTCGATGGGAACAACCCAGCATGCACGACTTCAAATCATCTGAAAGTGATTACGATGGCGAGGAGAAATTCCACACCTCGCTTTTCGGTTGCACATTGCAAGCACACAAAGCCATCTGCAAAAGGCAGCCACATTCTCTCACATGAAGTTATAAATTACTTCAATCAGTTCTTTTCTTAAAAAAAAAAAAAAATCATATACAAGAAGCAGAATTTGTTAAGTGCTGGAAAGAGAGAGGCGGGTCATTTTTCTTATCAGTCTGGGAGGAGGGGAAATGGCATCCAAGAGCCTGCATGAATTATTCCAGTGCTGTAGAAACAGAGGAGGATATAAAAACCCATCCCAAGCCAACCTGGAAGGCCAGGGCTCCATTATTTATTTATTTTGTTTTGCCAGTGGAACTGACAGTAAGGCAAGAAAAAGCCACTTTCTTGATTAATGAGGTGAAAACTCTCCCTTTCATTTCAGACATTACATTGGTATAAAGTGCTCCAAGCCTTGATAACGAGAGACGGGGCTGCCCAGACGCCGATAAACTCCCCTGCATCTTTAAACGATTACAGACTGATGCGGTTTTTGCCACCGCTCAGCCCTGTAAAATGGCCGCATTGCTAACGAGGCTGCGTGTTCATCAGGGATTTTCCCACCAGCCCTGCAACACCTCCGACATCAGCTGCTCGAAGCTTCCTGAACACAATCAATTAACCTCAGCATCGTTAGACGCGAATTGAAACACGGGCGCAAAGAGGTAAGCACCTTGCAGCGAGTCTGCAGCAGAGACCAGAAACACAGACGCTCTCTTTTTGACCCATCATGGCCCACCAGGTTGTTCCTCAGGGACCAGCATGGGACTTTGCAGCCATGGGCACTGGGACCATCTCTGTCAGCACAGAGGCTGGTCAGCCACAGAGACCTGGGGGAACACCTAGGACCTTGGTCAGCCCCCCTGCCCTCTCCTGCACCCATCGTACCGGGAAGGCGTAGATGAAGATCCCGAGGAAGAGCAGCAAAACGAAGAGCACGATGGCCAGGATAACCACCCACTTGTACCGCCGCCACAGGATGTACTTCAGGGTCTTGTACGGGGAGGTGAACCACAGGAAGGAGGTCTCTGGGCGCCTGGATGCAAATAAAGTTGAGGTCACTCCTGAGTTTCACAGTATTTTCACCCTCCTGGATCCCCAACCCCATGAGCATGCCCTGCTGTAACAAGCTAGCTGCTCACCCTGCAAACCCACATCCCTCTGGGTGGACCATGCCAAATGCCCTCCCTTGGTGGTCCAGACCAGCCTCTCACCCACCCTGGACAGTCTCAGCTCATACAGTCTGAGCTTCAACTGGTCAAAAACGGAGCCTACACAGGAGCAAGCCCATTGCAGATGGTAGACCTCAAACTGGGAACCGAGGTTTTCAATTTGCTCCTTGAGAACTCCATGCCCCAGTGGTTACTTTTCCATTCAAGATGCTCTTACTTGGGGTCCTCCAGCTTGGGGTTCATATTTGGCTCATCCCGACCTATGCCAGCAGGCCGCTCTTCATGCTCTTGTTCTGCCACAATTTCCAAAGTCATTTCCAATTTGCCCTGTGTGGGTTAAACAAAAGCAAACTTATAAACAAAACAAAACAAAACAAAACAAAACAAAGGGACAGGTGAGAAATGAACATATGATGCAAAATACTGACCGAGGAAAGAAAAACTACTTTGAGCGGAACCCAACCACTACCAACAAGGACCATGAGAAACCCAGTAAGAGTGGATTTCATACAGGTCCCTCACTTGCCCATTACAATGTTCCCAGCAGATACTCCAGGACATCTCAAATGTCACTGACACCCAAGTTTAGGCAACCGACTCAGGGGTCTTTTGTTGAATGACTTAATTCACTGCCTGGACTCCTTTACCTGTATTGAAGAGTCACCAAAGACTTGAACAGGAGCCCAGACACCTACATTTAAATGCATCAGTCTGACAATTGAAACGTTTCCCTGGTACTTGTCGCAACATATTATCATTAAGAATAGATATGATCCAGAGTCAAATTAGGCAGCATGTTCCAAAAACCGCATGAAAAAACCCACAGAACAAATGCTTTCTTCTGAGGCATTTGCATGGTGCTAGACAAATCCTGGAAAACATCCAGCTGACAAAAGCTGGTCCAGTTTGCAAAATTTGCAGGCCAAGAGCACATTTCATGCCCTGACCTTGGCATCCTGCATGTGCTTGGCCCAGCCACGTCCCTCCTCAATGCTTTGAGTGAGTCCCCCAAGAGAACATGTGAAGAGGCCACCTTACCGCCAGGATCTTCTTTTGATCCTGCTCAGCAACACAAGGCCACCATCCCTTGACAGTTTTCTGCTCAAAGAGTGACACAAAGCGACTTGAAGACAAGCTCTCATCTACTAGCTCTAAGGAGCACTTTTCAGCAGTCTTGGCAGGCTTGGGCATCCTGTTGAGATCCATCTGAATGGAGCCTGCAAGGAGGAACGTTACCGGGAAGACATCTCGGTGTAACAGGTCCTTAAAACGTGGACTGAAGAAATATTCACTGTGGCACCCTCCAGATCTCAGGGAGCTTGGGCAGACACCCGCACAGCAAGGGAGAGAGCAGGCTGAAGGCCTGTTTCCAAGCATAGCCCTAGTTTTAGCCAGTGGCTCTTCCTAATAACTGAGCTCTTGGCATCATCATTGTGCTTAGGAAGACCGGAGCCATTAAGTCCTTCTCGAATAGGCTGCAAAATATCCTCTGACTTACACAGCTATAACGTTGGATGATTTGCACTGAAGTCAACCAGGCAGGCTGAGATTTTTATTGAAGGCTAAGAGATTTAGGTGAAACTCAAATTGTACACACCCACAGCCCAGTCAATACAAGAGCACTGGGCAGGAAGCTTGCAGATCTCCAAATAGGTTATTTTATTGCACCACCCAGGTCAGTAATTGCAGCAGACTAAATAGGCAGGATATCCCACAAAACTGATAGCTTCCTTCACAGAGTGATCCAGTAATTAGCGCATTTATCTAGCCTTTAGGAAATCTGAGCTCAGTTCTCCAAGCATTAGTTGAAAGTGCCTGTATTTAATTTACATTGCTACACTAATTTACCTTATGGTTGGGAACGGCCAAGAACATACACAGGGGCTGGTCCTGTGGCTCAGCTGAGGGACAGCAGCTTTTTACACTACTGTGGACAACTCACATTTAGTTTTGTGCTTGTAGCTTTTCTGTGCCACAGATTCTTGCAACCACTGACAACAACAGTACAGATCAGGTTTGTTGTGAAACACTTTTGAGGTCCATTGGCTTTACAAAAGCCAAAGACCAATTTTATTTGTTGGAATTTGAAAAAAAAAAAAAAGTTGGCAGTCAGAAGCTCATGATGTGCAGAGCCAGAACTGGAAAACACACCTTGGAGAGGTTATTTTGGCACTCAGCCGATGTAATTAATCAAAGACAGGATTTAAAAGGATCCTGATCACATACTTCCTCAGTGAAGCTTTTGATGTTTGAAATTTTTTTAGTGGCAAAAAGAAAGGTAGAGCAAGATCCAACCAAAAAAACTGTAATGCTGGAGCCTCCAACTTCTGCACAGATACTGTTGCACGGCTCTGTTATCTTCCCTATTAGAGGTTTTTGGGTTGTTTTTTTTTTCTTGACCTAAACCTAGATTTCTGAGGATGATTAACAAGGCTAGCACTGAAAAAAGCAAGTGTCGGATCGAGCTGTGTTCATGTCTAAACATCCCAGGTAAGGTAAGGCAAGGCAGGTCAGTGATCCTGCCTGGCTGTCTCAGCTCAAACACACAGTTAGCCCCGATGAGCACATTTCAGCACAGACTCAGCTGAGTCACGGAGAATTGGGGCCTTCCTGGAAGTTGGTGGCTCCATTGGATTTGATGATGCTCTCAACATTATGTCAGCCCAGGAACAGGCTGCTGCAAGCTGAGACTGGAAATCTGCCTAATACAAACCACTTATCATCAGTCCTGAGCTTATGCTGACACTGAATCCTGTTCAGTGGCTTAAACTGGTCTTCTTACACTTTCTTCATATCCTGAAAGGATTCAAGAATTTTTTTCCTTTCTGTCTGCATCAGCAGGACTGGAGCCAAACAGGAATGGAGCCAAAAAACTCCCCTGACTTACCCAAATAGTCATCAAAAGAGAACTTGTCGTTGTCCCAGATCTGGAAGATAAGCTGGGGTGGAATCTTATTTTCTGTCTTGTCCAAGCTCCAGAAGTGCTCCTAAAATCACGCCGGAAAAGAAACCAAGGAAAAATAAAATGTTCATTAGTAGAAGTGGACAGAGCCTTGGCTACTCTCATCTCACAGCAGTAGAAATCCTGCAACTGCCCTCGGCGTGTCCTCCTCCAGTTCTGCGGGGCCAGAGCCACAGGAGGACAGTGCTGGCTCTGAGCAGCCCTTGGACAAGGATGCTCAGTGGAAAACCTAGGGTGCTTCTGGCAGTTGAGTTGTTACCAATTTGTGCCTTAATTTAGTGACAATATTTTAGCAAACAGGCACCAAGAACTTGCAAATAGGATCTTTTGGAGTGACAGCATCATATTCACATGATTTAGACGAGGGTGACTCTCCAAGGTGAAGAGGGCAACGAGTGTTGAGTGCCAGTGCTGCCAAACTTCACCTTCCTCTTAATTAATGGAAAAATATAGGAATAACACTTAAATTAGCACTTATGGTAGACAATTCAAACACATCCCCTCCCCTTCTGCCCATCTCTCACTCCAGCTCTGCCAGCAGCCAGAGCCCTGCACAAGTCTGGATCCACCACTGCTCTGATCTGCTGTCCAGTCTGTTGTAAGTAGTTTGTTTGCAGTTGGCCAACTTGAGACCTGCAAACACCTCTACCACCTGTAGGTAGCCTGTGGCTCCCAAGTTTACATACTAAACACAAATACGTGAAGAAAGAGACTGGTGTTTTCATAGCAGCTCACTGTGTGGTGGGTTCCTCAGTTCTCAAATGACATTGTTCATCTTTTCTGCACATCTCCCAGGTTTTCATTCTTGGGGGAGGTGAATGCTAGAGTTGGGCATGGTATCCCAGTAACTCTGCTGAGAATATTACACTGGGCTGCTGCCAAGCTACATAATGCGCTTGCCATATTGATTACTACATCCAAGTTCAAGAAAGCAGAGATTCAGAACACCAGCAAGCCATGATGACCAGAGCCTGGCTCCCTGTACAACCAACTGAGCAGTGGCACTGTAGCACTTGATTTCAGTCCTTATAATGCAAGATCTGTCACTCTCTATATGCCCTTCTCATTTCTATTAGATGGGCAATATTTTGTCTGTTCCCTGCGACTAGAGCTGCTGTGACAACCTGTGGAAAGGTTTTGCAGCAGTCCCAGAACCCTATTTGCAAAGCACCGAGAATGAAAATTACACCATGAGCATCCCCTGTGATTATTGTCTTTTACCAAGCCCTTGTGCAGTGCAGGAGCTATCATCCATCAGTTCTGCAACCTGGCCACAGTAATAAGGAATAGCTGCTGCCTGGGCGACAACATCCGTATGGGAGTTCAGCAATAGGATGAGGCAGCGATTTCTGCTTTCTGGAGAGGACATGATTTACAAAACACTCACTCATGAGAAGTTTGCAACTGCAGTGACCCAGTTACTACAGTGGATAGGTCAACAGCAAGGCAGAAGGTCCGCCTTCTGGATAGTCAGACCAACGCTCCCCGAAAAGCCAGGGGAGGGGAACATTTAAATTAGACTTCTCTAACAAGGCGGGTTAGAATCCCATTACTGTGACAATGAGCTTGCAGCCACATCATTATAATATATGGTGGATATGTGCCCATGCCACAAAATTTGCTATTTATGTGGTCGCAACCGGTAATATTTCCCAACAGGGATCGAATACCACTTTTGGGATGCCACAAGATGCCCAAGAGTTAGGATTAAGAAGTGTTAGGGCAGAAGGAGAGAGACAGAGACACACAAAAAGCCAAGGTCTTGTTATTTCTGGCTCCAGCCAACGCTTGCAAAGAGGAGGCAGAGTCACGACCGGTGTCTACTGACAGCACAGGCTCAGAGGTGTGTCCTGTGGGCAATGCCTCCTGCCGCACTCTTGCAACATGTCAGTATCATAAACGGAACAGATTTAATTAAAACCAGGAAACTTCAGCATTATTCACGACACATACGTAGCACCATAAATTCACTGCAGTGGCTACAAGACTCTGATTCATTATATCGTGTAATATTAAAAAAAGGGGGGAAAAAAAGAATGTGTCACACTCCATAAGAACATAAATATTCAAGCAGGGAGGCTGTGGGCACTTAAATCCCACTGAAACTGGTTTCACTTTAAGAGATCACCCTGGACGGTTGTATTTCAATTTAGCTCCATTCCCCGCCTTGCTTTGGAAAAACACGCCAGCATTTTTGCAATGGAGCATTTTATTTATGCATTTTAAATATTTTATAATCTAGAAAAATAAAATAAAGTCAATGGAAACTTCCATCTCTCCCCCTCTGCTCATTGCAATGTATTAGAATGTATGTTTATCCAAGGGCAGGGGGGGACGGACAGGTTTTCCCAGCTAATAAGTCATTTTAAATTAAAACTGCTATTTATGGTGATTCTTCCCTTTCCCATATATTGGTCCTGCGCTGCAGAAGGGTTGTTAGTCATCCAGAGGAGAAAGTCCCCAGGAACCATGTACCCGTGCCTAAAGAAGGCGGCAGCCAGATGACCTCATGGGCTGGAAAGGTTCATCTGGGGTCTGCGAGACGGAGGAAGACCCATCTCCCACGGTGTGCACCACAGCGAGACACCGTGGGCTCCTTCTGATTGCCCCTTGCTGGGACAATTCAGGCACCCCCACCTATGCTCATCTTGGGGAGCATGAAACGTCCTACAGGTGCCTCTTCCACTCCAGTGGTAACTGATGTTCCTGGCTCAGAGGCTGAGTTCACCACATCTGCATTTGTCAGAAGTGTCCACGCTCCAAGAGCATCGCTATGCTGCTGCCTGGGCTGAAGCACCTCTCCAAGCACATGTTGGACCTTCTCTTTGCACCATCCCATCCATCTGGAGCCAAACGTGAGCAAAAGCTGACACTTGAGCAGCCCTTCTGAAAGGGAGGAGGGGTGATGGCAGCTCTGCTCTCTGGCAAAGGTACTGCCTGCTGGAAGACCCAATCCCACGAGTGCCCTGATGGGGAACCAGCAGGAACCAGGACAAGGAAGAGGTTGTCATGAGACCCAAATTACTGTCCCAGTCTCTAAGCTGCTGCAGCAATCTCCCTCCTCTTGGTGGGCTCCTTCCCCACCTGTGCTGCTGGCTGAGCTCTCCTGGGACAGGAGGAGAGCACCTCGAACCCAGGTCAGAGCCAGCGGGTGCTGCAGAGCCTTATGGTCACCTCCCACGCAACAAAACACAACTGGGTAAGTGTCCCCCGGGACTGACCATGCACTTGCTGGCAAAGGTACAGGACTTTGGGTTTCCACCATCCCTCCTCCCCATTGCAACGCCCTCGGACTTGCCCACGCTCAAAGCGAACAAAACCCATACCCTGGCCAAGTGGATGCTCGCTGCATCCCTCTGCCTCCCCAGCACCACTTCTACCCCCGAGAGCAACGCCCTGGCTTGCCGGGGACTCCCTGCCTGATGAAGAATGACTCAGGCAGGATTCGACCCTTTCCGGGTGGCAATGCGGAGCTCGTACAACGCGAGCACGATCTGTACAGTTTTGGCCTTTCTTGTGGAAAAACACTGTAAATGTGGTTTGGCTGGTGGCGAAGCTTTCCTCCTCGGAGCCCCGTGAAGCTGGGGACATGGCAGAGCAGAGCTGTAAGGGCAGGCTGGGGAAGGAGGAATTTGATGCTGAGCTAAGTTTATGGGTCCATTTCAAGGCAGTGTGAAATTTGCCTCCATGATTAAATCTAGCTACGAAAGTTCACTATAAAAACAACCCAAGGCAAGAAATTTATTTCCTAGCCTTTTGCAAGACATGGGAAGGAAGGGGGCTTGAATTATTGTTTGGGGGTTTGTCTTGCAGTGGGTGGGGGATAGGGGAGGCTGGTGAATATTTTACGGTCGTGAATAATGCAGCAGGGGAGGCAGGAAAAGAAAATAAGCTCATATCACTAGGAAAGTGTTGACAGGGCTGCATTTCTTCTGGGTTGCTTATGTGCTATGGAATACAAAGTAAGGCGCAGCCCTGCTTTTTTGGGGAGGCAGGGAGGCCCCAGCACGTTCACACCCAAGCAAGCCTGTCCCGTTATGTGCGTGTGGGACAGCATCAGGTCCCTCATCCCGCAGCAACCGGGGAGCCCTGGGCACACCAGAGACCCCCTCGGAGGTCAGCCAAGACGAGCCTCTTCTCCTGCAGGAGCCAGGACAGGCCGTCCTTCAAGGTGTTGAGAAACTGCTTCCCTGAACCTCATCCCATTGGGACATTTCATCTATTCGTAATAAGCATGGAGCTAAGAGCGCTCATTATTGCACTTTTACTGGACTAACTCGCCTCTTTGATCGCCCTGCTGTTGCCCACTCCTCCAGTTGCACCGCAGGTCTCATGGCACTTGGTTTTCTGCATCTACCCTGATCAGGATGGCAGCTGAGCAAAATCCCAAGTGCACAGCATCTGCTGCACATTCAGGCACAGCCTTGCCAATACCTGGAGGAAGACTCCAGGCGTCACCACACCATAAATGTGAAATAGTCATAATATTTGCCTTGGGGCACATACTCTCACTTCGGTCCCTGGAATCGCTCGCTGCAAGGTTGTTTTCTCAGCCTCCCATGCTTTCCTTCTGGCAGAGTTTATCAGGCTTTTCCAGGGACATGCGGCCATCCCGCTGCCCTTTAGGGAGCTCCAAGCCTTGGGGTCCCAGTCCTGACCAGTTTGTGAACAGCACTCTTGGACCTCCAGTTCTCGACACAGCCACGCTTTGCTCATGCCTCTCCATACATCCATTGGAAAGCAAAATTCACAACAGTAATTCCTGCCTGAATGTCACAGAGGCTGCCGGTGTAGCCCAGGTCATGACTGCTGCCCTTATTACAAAAGACTGCTCTGTCGTTGTATCTGCTTGTTGCAGTCCCATTAAAATACATAATATATGACTGCCTTGTCTAACGCTGCCTTCCTCCGAAAAAAACATGTACTTGGAGCCCATTCAAAATGTTGCATTTTGGCTAAATGTGGAAGGAAAAGGAACATTTTGTGTTTTGCTTTGCTTTCTGATGTCACCAAGAAAAACAGGGAAGGACACAATAAAGGACAGGGAACAGGAGAGGGAAAAGTCCAAAATTCAAAGGCAATAGCCTTTTTTTTTAGCTTTCCGACACCAAAGAGGAATGAAAATTTCAATCTAATAAAATGTTAACTGTTTTTAATAGAAATCAGTGCTTAATACTCAAAATTTCAAACTAAAACCAACCTGACCACAGAGATTTATTCATACACCCTGGAGATTAGGCGACGACCGTAACAGAACAAGGGGATGACACAAGGACCCAGTTGCAGAAACCGCACACGCCTGGCTATTTATTTTTATAAAAATTAAACGGAGAGGCCACACACTTACCTCCAGGGCAAACTCTTGCCCTGTCTGACAAATACACCAAGCCCAGGCTGCCCACGAGCTCTCAGCTGATTTGGAGCATCGCGCTACGAGCCATCGCTGCACGGCGTGAGCCTCCCCCATGCAAAATCAATTGCAATGGGGACGTCCCCGCACACCCCACCGCTGGCACTGGCTCTTCCTTCCCAGCTGGTGGAAATCTGCTGGGCGCGGAGGAATGCACCGGCTGATCTGCCCCAGGTGAGGGTCTGGCCTGTTGCAGGTTGGAGCTGTCAGTACCAGGAAGATGTCAGGACACTACAATGAATTTGCAGACAAAGTAACCAGAACTGACGAAACCAGATGGAGCTGGGAAAGCCTCAACACCAGGGAAGGAGGAATTTATTCTCGGCTCCACTCAGCAATAGAACAAAACAAGCTGTGAATTACAGCCCTTTCTTCCCTGCTTTTCCCTCAAATGCCTTTGCACTTTTCTCTCTAGGTGGGTTTAAGACCCCAAACCTCCTTCTTTCTCATATTGCTCCTGAAGAGCTATCTCCAGCATGATTTCTGGGATGCCACCAGCTGATCAGTCATAGAAAAAACCCTTCCAAATATCAGGTTTATTGTTATATTCAATGCCAGAGCCAGCAAACTTGGAGACTTTAGCTGCACCTTGCAGCAACAGGGTCTCGATTATTCAAAGAGATATGTGCAAGTATCACCGATATCTCACAGCCACAGGGTTATTGCTGGGATTATCCTACAGGACCATCTACTTCTAGCCATGCAAGCAGCATGCACCCACTACTGCCAGATGTCCAAAGACCTCCAACTCAAAGTCAGTGTGTTTTGGTGCCCAGGTAGGCTGCAATTAATCTGCTTAAAACTTGGATGGGCCCCTTTAGCTGAGAGCACAAAGTGGAAGAAATGAAATTAATGTAAGAGCTCCTTGAAAAAGAGCCTCACCACAACTGCCCCAACCTTCCCACTGAATAAACCAGACAGTGGCTTGCAGTTTCTTCTACAGTAGTGGGATGGGTCCTCTTCCAATGGCTCTCTTTGCAAAACAGAATACTTTGTGTTCTGGCATCAGTCCTTCATTTTCTTGTTGACATCTAACACCGAAGTCTAGTAGCAGAACAAGTATGAAGACAACAGTTATGTTGCTTGGTCTGTTTTCTGCCAATGACATGGCATGACATGGATTTGAAATTGCCAACAATGCTCCCATACTCATTATGTTCATCGCCTGGAATTTCTTTTATGCAACACTTTTCAGATGGTATATGAACAACCCAGCCAGGTCTTGGAAGCTCCAGCCTAGTGGTTTATTTCCAGGTCCACTCAGGCACCAATAGTTTTTAACTTGTATTTTGAGATGCTCTTGAAATTCTAGCCTGAATGTTCATTTATGCAGATGACATTTGCTCAGACATTCAGTGTCAAGCTTTTTCTGCCCTAGAGGACATCTAGAATTCAGATTTGGCAGCTATACTCAGCTACTGCTGTAACTGGCACTTGAAGCTGAACATTTCAAAATCAATTTCATGCATTTTCCACCTCCACAGCGCCTGCGAGACGTGGGAGCTGAGTGCCTCTCTGACTGGGTGCCCAGTGAAACGTGATCCACATCCAGCCTATCTCAGCACTGCTCTCCACAGACTCTGGTTGTACCATGACCATCTGATAACATTGTCTGCAAGAGTCAAGACCTGCCAGGCTTCGACCTGGGGATCTAAAGTTTAAACCCTGCCGACTTCTGCTCTTCTCTCTGCTGGCTGGCAGCAGAGCATTGTACTCATCTGGGACCTGGACTTGCCTGTTCCTCCCCTACTTAAGTCAATATGCAATTTCATGCAAATATGTCAGGGGCGCTGAATCTACCTTTCCACCCTAGCTCCCCCTGTGAAATAACAGCTCTCCAACATGCAGTGTGCACTGACCCTTTCGCCAAAACGACTGCATGATTTGCAATCTAAGAAACTGTCTTCTTGCAGGACTCGGCAAGCTGCAAGCGTGCTGTGGCCATGCAAACGACATGGCCGGACTCGTCCATGGCTGCTAGAAAAAGATGGCACAAAAAGAAGCGAGAACAGAAGAAGGAAATTCTGAATAAATGCTGAGAGAGGATGTTAAAGAAACATGCATTTACATATTTTCAGAAGAGCTGTCCCAAGGTGGACCACCTCTTTCGTGGGGATTTTTTTGAAATTCAGAATGGGGTAAATTCCTTTCTCAGAAGGAGAAGCAAAATCTTTATAACATTACTGCAGCTGGAGAAGATATGGATGGAAAAACATTCTGAAACGGTTAAAATGTTTAGAAAAGCAGGAATAAGAGCCTACACTTCCAATCTGTAAGTTGAATTGATGCTCACAGGATTTACAGGCTCCTGCTTTCCCTTGAGGTGCCCCGTGGGAAGATTGAAGCCTCAAAACCCCAAGCAATCCCAGTGCTTTGAAGCTTTGGAGGTAAAGTTCCCAAAACTTCCAGTGCTGTGGCAAGGATTAGACAATCCTGGCTACTGCTGGCCATCCCAAGGCTTCAGGGTCCAGTTCCACCACGGGGCACCTGAGGTTTCCCCAGGTTTGCAGGCTCCCAGCTCCCCCCAGGCATGCACACCAGAACTAAACATCGCAGAGACCCTGCCGCCCAGGGGCATCCTTGCTCTTTTGGGACAATATTTACAATCTGGGTTGGGGTGACCCGTTCCTGCAGTCCATCCTGCAAGGCTAAAGGGGGCTGCAATCCGCGAGGAGGTGAGTGGACCAAACAAAGGAAAGCAAATTGAAAGCTGCTTTCCTCCCAGCAGCGCTCTCTCCGAGGGCCAACACCAGCAAGGCTGGGCGCAGGTGGCTTTTAGCAGCTCAGAATTTGCCATCTGACCGTTTTGATTTAAATTCCACTTTCCATCGCCTGCGTTTAAAGTTTGGTGCATGGGCTTTTACAGCAGCAGTAATGAACCTGGAGTTCAAACAGCACATGGCGAGATCAAAAATTGCCAGAGCGGAATGTGTCCCACAAATACAAAGCATGGCTTTTCATTCATTATTTTTTCCTTTACAGAGAGGTTTTACAAGCTGTTTATTTTCTGATACAGTGTTGGCAGACATGTGGTCGGAGGAGAATCAATATCAGCACAGTGGGATGTATTTTCTTAAACAGTTTATAGGGGGTCTTTGCTTTTTCAAAGGGGGATAATTGAATGTAGTACACACTGTACTTTTGATTTGTTTAACATGAAGCGTGAAATGGGTACAGCTATGATTCTGTCAATCAGTTTAACTATCCAGCGATTCATTTCGAAGCTAGGCCTCCTCGCGGGGATCGTCTGGCTCGAGGGATGCGGAATTCGCTCAGCATCTTCCCTGCCGAAGCACCAGTTCCAACCCAGGCTGTACTGGGACCTTGCTGGCCCCACAAAAAAAGCTGGGATGGGGGTGCCAGGTGAGCTTTGTGGATGCGGAGGGTCCCTCTGCAACGAGGTGTCTTTGTATTCAAACAAACATCAAGGCTGAGTTCACAGCGGCAAGGCAGGGAGCAGGGACGAAGACTCAGGGTTGGGTGGCTGAAGGGGTCTGAGCTTTCAGGGAGGTGTCACAAAACAGGACCGAGTCTCAAAAGCAGGGGTTGTGCCTGTTGTCCACACAGACCCAACAATACTCCTCTTAATCTCCAGGTGATGAGCAGGAAATTTAAGTGAACAGATCTCCCCCCCTAAAGCGTTCCTTGAGAGCCAGTCCCATTTTCACCTGCATTTTTCCATGTATGCACCCCAGCTCCATCCCCATTTCCTTCCCTCTGTGCAACTCCAAGTCCACATCTGATCATCGCATTGCACTAACTTCTCTAAGGAACACCAAAAGCAATAGCCAGCTACAGACGTAGGAATGAGGGGGACAAAATCACATCCACTTTTAACTCCCCAGTGAAGTACACAGCTCTCTTATTAGGCCAAAGACATCTTCACCCTGAATCCCAAACCAAAGCTTTTCTTCCCATCTCTGCATCAATGGTACATCCCAACCCATGTTCCCCTACATGTCCTTCCTACTTACCCCTTCAGGCACTTGGAGGCAGCTCCTTCACTTTCACCCCTCTTTAGCCCTTCTGTGAAGTTATTGTACAGCACGATGCCCATTACGCTATGCTGGAGACCAGGGGTGCATACCTAACCATCCCCGTGGAAATGCCATCTCCATCTTTGGAGTAACCCTGTTGTTGAATAGGCATCTTGGAAGTCCCACGCAACCTGGAGAGTTTGACACCAGTGCACCAATATTCAGCTGCCTCCAGTCCAGAGGAGTCTTTCCTGGAGGGTCAGTCTCTCCAGACTCTTTATACAAAGCCACCTCTAATTCTGACTCCACAAACATTGTATTCAAAATGTGGATTTTTTAAAACCAGTTTCCCCACCTGTCCACAACTTTGTGCTTCAAATAACACAAAGGCAAGGCTGAGCCTTGCATAGCTCCATTTGTGCTGCAGTTGTGCAGGTCTTAGATCATGCAGCGCATTTCACCCCAGAGTTACTATGAGAAGGTAGAAACATCTGTCCAGGGACACTCACCTTTTTTGCGATGTGACACATTTGCTCAGCAGGGAGATAGTCAAAGGGGAAGACGAATCTCCAGTTGAAGTTGCCCTCTCCTCCCATAGACCTGTAGTGCACATCTGTCTTTTGCTTGTTCTCCTCGTGGCCAACCAGCCAGCTGCAAAATGCAAACGCGTTGCATGAAAAACTAGAAACACACCAAGGATTTTGGAGTTCACTCAACATCACAGAGGCCATGAGCAGGTAATAAAATGTCTCTCACCCCTGTGGGTGCCTTGGGCTTCTATCTGTAGGGGTAACCTTGAGCCTGTAGGAGACTTGAGAGGGAATGCAACAGTCCCTGCAGTGTGGGAGATGAACCAACACTGGTGGTAGCAGCCTGAGAAGCTCTGCAATCTCTTCTCCTCCCTCCCCCGAGTTTTATGGATGTTTTAAAGACTCAACATCGCCTTAAGCACACATCAAGTTCTAACCTGCCTTGGTGGGAGCTCCTTTCCCCTTTGCAGCCACCCCAAGACACTGGCCTTGTAGTTAACCCCTAAAGCCAGTCCTGGTTTTGAGGCAACCATGCTAAAGAACCAAAGGGCCACTTTTTTCCCTCTGTTCTCTGTCGATTTCTCCAAGATTATTATTTGAAAGTCCTAAATGGCCAAGAAGTTCTTCCCCAGGAAAAACCCAGAGTGGCCAGACCCTGATGTGGCCAGGGTGGTCCCCAGCCGCTCCCCTTAGAGACAGGTCCTCGCAGCAGAGTTCCCCTCCTGGTCTAAAAGAGCTTGCTGTGGTCCGCAACCAGTCCAGGGGCAAACTGAAAACTTTCCATAACAACTACTTTTTTCCAGCTGTGATTTTTGCAACTGTGGGGTTTTCGTTCTGAGGGGTTTTCCGTCTGCCGTCTTTCCCTGTCCAAGATTTTTCAGTATTCAGCAATCAACGAAACAAAACAAAACAATAAAACACATCCATTTGTGTATTTAGAGCCCTTCTGGAGGAAAGCCAGAGGATTCAGAGAGAATCTCTAATGAAAACAATTATCTCGTTTGATTGTTTTCCACTTAAATTGAAAATAAAGGGTTTTTGCCCAGCTATTCAAACAATTCCCTCTTCTCCAGTGCTTGAGAGGCGCACATGACCTGCCCCAAATGCCTTGTGGGAGACAGGGAAGGGAGGTCTACTCAAGTTCATCCTACAGTACACATCACATGCACATGTGCTACACGGACAGCCAGGGCTTGGTGGCAGTGGGAATTGTGTGATGAGGTTACACTAATACTTAAATTGTGGCTGGATTATTTGATTTGATCTGATAGGATGCAAATGGCAAGCCTGTGTGTTTATCCACATCCTTCAAAGCTTGGCAGGGACCCTCAGAGGATGCAGTGTGAGCGCCCTCTCCTTGCAGGCAAACAAAAGGACAAACAAATGGTTTGATGTGGATGCCTCTTTGGCACGGGTTGTTTGGGTTTTTTTTTTTTTCTTGCAGAACTTGTTGCACCCTCCCCCACTGCAGGAAAGAGATGTCAGAAATCAAAAGCATTCAAGTCACAGTGCCCCAGAATTAAAAACATGACGTAGGAATGGCCATGGTCACCAACCAAATGCCCATCTTGCCCAGTATCCTGCCTCTGACCAGGGCCAAGAGCAAACATCCAGGTAAGAGTACGGGATTGGGGCAAACACATCCTGACATCTTCCCAACACACCTCTCCAGACTCCAACAATTTGCAGGTCAGAGATTTCCTGAACCATGGATAATGAAAGGAGGGTGTAGTGAGGTGGGTGTTGGTCTCTTCTCCCATGTAGCCAGCGATAGGACAAGAGGAAATGGGCTCAAGCTGCGTCAGGGGAGGTTTAGGTTGGAAATTAGGAAAAATTTCTTCACGGAAAGGGTAGTCAGGCATTGGAACAGGCTGCCCAGAGAGGTGGGGGAGTCCCCATCCCTGGAAGTGTTCAAAAAATGGGCAGATGTGGCACTTGGGGTCATGGCTTAGTCTAGTCTACCCTTGATTGGTTTAGTGTGGACTTGGTAGTGTAGGTTAATGGTTGGACTGGATGATCTTCAAGGTCTTTTCCAACCTAAACGATTCTATGGTTCTATGATTCTATAACGGTTTTGTACTTAACAGGACTGGGCGGATTTTTAGCCCATTAATTCATCCAGTATTTTTTAAATCCATTCAGCTTAAGGTATCTCTGATATCCAAAGGCAAAGTTTGGTTCTTAAATCTAAGAGGCAACTTTGTTCTCAAAACTCACACACCTTCCCCTTTGTTCAGCACGAGTGTAAGATTTTGGTGGACCCAGGCCATCCTTTTACTTAGGAGCCCAAAAGGGGATGAAGATGAGTTTTAAAGATGCCACATAATAGCACATAAATCTCAGTAGTGGTGGCTGGTTGGAAGGGGACTCTGGAAAGTTCTAGTCCAACTGGCTCAAAGCAGTACTGGTTTTACTTTAAAATATCTTGAAAAACTTGCAAGACAATGAGTGAACAACCTCCCAGCCCCTGTGTGAACTGGCTCAGTGTTGGTCCATCCTCTTGGTGAAGCAAAACTTTTTACTGGAAATTTCACTATGAAAACAATACAAAAATATCCTCCATCAATGACAGTGACAGAGAGGGCTGTTAATTCAAAAAACCATCTTCAGTGCCTAATGAATATCCTACACTACAACTCTTTTGTCTGCCTACAGCACTAGCCTTTAGGAAAGGAAAGTCTCTCTGCACTCAGCGTTGCACAACCTAAACTTGGTTGAGACTTCTTCATGCTACTGTAAGACTATCAATAAATAACTGATTAAATTAAATAAAATAAACGGCAACTGCCTCAGGCATAATAGAAAAGCTCCTATTTCATTTACCTGCCTAACTGACTCAACAATAATTTAGATATTATGTAGAAGATAATGCCCAAGAGACTGAGATTGCAGCCCTGGCCTTGCCTAATGGGTAAAATGGAGAATAAACCAGCAGTAGCGTCCTCAGAGAAGCACTGTGAGATCTTCTGAAGGAAAGCCACAGGTAAAAGCTCCTTGTCCATCGAGTTCACCCTAAAGTAGGCTCCAGCCCCCGCTCAGGAGGCAGCAGTGGACGCAAGGAACAGTCCCCACCAAAGCAGCACCACGCCATGGTGGTGAAGGCCACTTTGCTCACTGGATCCCACCTGCGGGGCAGACGCTTAAGCACAAGAAGGACCATTGCCTCCCCTCCCAATAGGATTATTCAGGCCTTACCCAGAGATGCTAGCGATGCAGCCATCTGAGGAGGAATATGAGGAAGTGGAGCGAGTTTTTAACTCATTTACAGCACTACGAGATTTGCTTGGTCATTGGGGATGCTAAAAGCCAGGCGAGGGATATCAGCGAGCACTGGATGCTCTCGCTCTCCCGGTAACACCCTGCAAGCACTACTATTTCAGAGCCCCAAAGTGCACAGAGCAGCTTAGCTGGAGCTGATAACAATGCACTTGATGTGAATACCAGGTAAGCAGTGCGCATTCTGGATTTACAGGAGGAAAATTGGGACTGTAAAAAAGGGATTTACAGTCTGTTTCAAAATCCTACCTCTTCCTGTCCATAAATCCAAAGAACGCACAAAATAAGTAAGTCCCTTGGCTGGGATTGCACCATTTTACACAAGATAAAACATAAATGGAGTCAGGCAGAGAAGGGAATGTGCCAGAGTAGTTACTGCTGGTTGCCACATTTTTGTGTGTTTCAAGGAAAAAAAGGAATTCCAAAAAAAGCAGCTATGCAAACAAGCCAACCTATGTATATGGAACAAGCCCATGGCTGTCCCGGGAGAGGAGTTGGGAAGGAGCCGACAGTGGAAATGCAGACTACGTGCCCCTCTCTCCGATGGCTAGGCTGCTTCCCCACGTCTTATCTTTCTAAATGTAAATATTGCCATGTAAGCATCCAAGAGATGCAAAGGAAAACTTGACATGGTGAAGCAGTTATGAGCCCAGCAGAGACATGTCTGCCGAGAAGCTCGATCCGTAGCTGGAGAGGTGTGAACGGCCCCTTCATCCCAGTGGGGGTTCATGTCTACCACAGCCATGTTGATGCCAAGGGCCATGTTAACTCCGTCACTGCTGCTCTTGCACCTTTAGGCTAATGTACCCAGAGCACACAGAAGCGGGGTGGCTTACCCTTTGACGTAGATGTCACTCATCTTCTCGCCGGTGATGCTGAGGTCATCAAGGATGACGTCCTTGGTGTTCCAGATGATGCAGCGCAAGAAGAACCTGGACAGCCCCAGGAACAAAAGCAACATGAGAGGTGGAAATCTCGGTCCAGAGCCCACCTAGACAGCCTGGTTGTGCTACTCAGCTGTTTAGCTGAAGGAGCTAAGACATGAGCTCATCATCTTCCTCTGAAGATGAGCCCACATAGATGTTTCTTAACTAGGCAGGTGAATGCCTCCCCATCTGACATCTCCGAGCCCTCTCCTCTCCCCTCACAAACAGAAGGTGCTGAAACCAGCACTGCACTGAGTAAGAAATAAAGTTACCTCTTGGCTTTGCGTGGCGTGATGTTGAAAGGGGGGCCAGGCTGACCCAGAGATTTCGGAAACAGGTCCACCCACATCTGTAGCTTTCCCTGTATGGAAAGAAAGGCACACGAAGCCTGGTGAGCCTCCAAACTGGGTTACCTTCACCTCCTCAGTAAGACCTAGTAGTGGAGAGAGAAAATATCAAGTGCTCCCATGTTCCTTAGTTGAAAACTAAGGTTTCCTTAATGGAAAAGTGTCATTAAGTATTATATTAAAAATATTTTAGTGATAGCTGGGTATATGTTAATGGCTTGCGATATCTAAGTGGTTGGTCTGGATAAGTTGAAGGTGCACTCTGCCTTTACTCTCCATGACTGACTATCTTTACATAGGGACAGACTAAAGATTAGGTCCATGGGAGGTGTTGGAGAAGCAAGCAGCTCACTTGTTTTCCATGGTGTCACCAGTTGTCACCAGCTAGACAGCCGGTTTATGGGTTTCTGACCCATGGGAGTGGAGGATGGGTTGAGGAGAGGGGAATCTAATTCCACTTTCACAAAATCCTTCCAGGGAGAGAGCAGCAGAAATGCAGCTGAAATCTCAGGGGGGATGTTTTTAGGTGGCCTCTTTTACCGTAAAACACCAATGGGTGCCAATAAAATATTTTATTGTGCAGTCTCAAGGGTTGGAAGAAAAAAAAAAAAAGTCATCCTTTGACAATCAGCCCATCAGAGAGGGGTTTGTGGTTTGCTTGCTTTTTGGCAAGAAAATCTCTCATTTCAGCAGAAAACTTTAAAAGCCCAACCTGGCTTTTAGCTCACTACAGACAGCCCGATAGAGCCAGCCTGTTCTGTGGCTTTGCAGCAGGTCAGAGCCATGCTTTTGGGAACTGCCCTGAATGCAACATATACCGAGTCACACAGATTAATCCCCCTGGGCCCAGCGTCACGCTATGGATGCCCTTGGTTAGGAGCACCGGTGCAGGGCAGACCCCGATTGCTCTGCCCATATGCAACCCCACGTCATGGAGGAAGCACCCTTGCGTCTCCATGGCTGGTCCAACAAGACCATGACACCTGTACCTGTAAGAACAGCATGGACCCACTTGTCAGCTGATAGAAGCCATCTCCTGCCTCTAATCATCATTTTCATCGGGTGAATTAACATGAAAAGGCATTAGAGTAGTTGCCAATGCATTTACTTCTGCCGGCAATTCTCTCCCACCACTGGCAAGGTGGTCTGAACCACAGAAGGGAACTGGCTAAAACGGTGCAGATCAGTGGCTGTGCATATTTACACCAGCTGCAGAGCTGATCTCTTGAAACTGCCTTTGCAATGCAACTGGAACCTGTACGACAGATGAAAATTAATCATTTTTTTCTTCAGGAAGCAGCATTTTTTGATCCAAATGCATAAAGTACACATACGTCTTAATCAAAGAAAAGGGGTTAGGCTAAGTACAGATACCTGGATTTTGATTGGGTTTGGATGGAAACCTGTTTAGTTTTCATTTGGCTAAAAAACATCCCGCCTGCAACAGTATTAACACTTTACGCCTCCAAGGGCGGTTTCATGCTGCAGAAATCACACTTTGGCTGCATTGCCAAAGGAGCCTGCAGTGTCACGACCGGTACAGAAGAATTCTTCATTAAGACCTTCAGATCAGAAATGGCTTTCCCACAAAAAAAAAGAAAAAAAATAAAATTGTGAGCAAATGCTGATAAAAATGAACACAGGAGGCTGGAATCGATCTCCCCAAGCACCCTGAGCAAGCCAGCCACGGAGCTGAACTCCAGCCTGTGTTTGATAGCCAGCGCTCTGCTCTGTCCCACCAGCTGACTCCCCTCTCCGGGAAAAGCCCGTCTCCTGGGGCAGGTATCCCCAGCACGGCTCCGCAGCAAGCCAGCCACCTGCTTAGCATTGGATCGAAAGGAGGTGATGCTCTCGGTCTTGTCCTGGGCACGTCACACCACCCACCTGCTCGATTTCTGGCTGGAGAGGGCTGTAAAGAGGTCTCGTCTCCACATGCTCCGGCACCAGCCCTTGCTTCCGCAGCGCGTACAGGGCGAGACGCTCCTCCACCGGCCCCAGGTGGGGGTTGAGGGGTTTGCCGTCCTCTGCCACAGAGCAAAGAGCAGCGTTACGCCACGCCACGGCTGCAGCTGCGCCGGGACGGGTTCTGGCTGCCCCGCCGGGATCTCCGCAAGGCAGCAAGAACGAGCCCACCGGCCTCACTGCAGCCAAGGGCGAGCAGGAGGAGCACAGCCTCCGTTTGCAAATCCACCATCATCACAAACTCTCCAGGACACAGGGCAACCTGTTCCCAGCGGGACACGTGGGCAAACCGCCGTGCAATGGGACGGAGACCTGTGGGGACTCTTGTGCAAGTCCCCCCCTGCCCCAAATCACAGTAAGTGAAACATTGCAAGGACCAAGTTGAAGCACATGGAGGGTCCAG